TGATGGCTTTTAATTCATTTGAGGACTTGCACATCAAGGATGGCTTCCATGATTTTATCTAAGGCTAATGGGGACAAGATGCACACATTTAGGTCATCACTTGGAGTTTACGGCCCAAGATATGTTCCTTGGCCGTAAACTCCTTTTAAGGAGTGATTATGAAGTCTTTGATCCCCATTCAAGTCCCATGTGTTCAAGGTAAATTGTCTTAAGGCCTTAGGGGTGTTTGTGGTGCATTTCACCCTTAGAAAAGGGGTTTACGGCCCAAGATCCTTCCTTGGCCGTAAACTCCTATAATTCTATCATTTTGAAGTGTTTTGAAGTCCAAAAAAGCACAAGTATTAGTGGTTAAAGTCCTTAGGCTCAAGGAGGCAAGTTAGGGCATTTATGTCCCTTAAAAAGGGGTTTACGGCCCAAGAAGTTCCTTGGCCGTAAACTCCTCTAACTTGTTGATTTTGGATGCTTTCTAGTCTCTAAAGATCATACACAAGGTCCTTTAACAAGTTGTCTATCAGGAATCGGGACTAGGAAGCCTTAAAGTTCCATTTTGGAGTTTACTCCCCAAGAACGTTCTTGGGCGGTAAACTCACGGATCTTGTATTTTGGACATGTAATTGATGTTATAAAGCATATAACAAGTATTAAAACACGTTTAGGAAAGTAGACTCACAATCCGAAATGAAAACCCGAAAATCCGTCAGAGAGAATTGGCTTTTCTCTAGTTGGAATTGTGAATAATGAATTAATTAAATTCAGAAATCTATTTATAGTCCTGGAATATTTTGACAGAAAATATTTTTATTCCGGAAGTCGGACTATAACATTGTGAAACTTAAAATGTTCAAGTTTCACAATTACAAGAGCATCCACTCTCCTGATACGTCCAGAAACGTAAACCCTAATGTACACAAACTTGTTCGGACAAGTCTGAAATTTACAGAAACTGGACTAGCTTCTATTGAATAGATAATGTTCGTACAATGGAAATTTCGGGTTGTCACAGGAATTGAGAATACAAGCAGTTTGAAAATCAGCATAAAGCTGGTGAGTTCATAAGTGTTTTGTTTTCTGAAAATGAACATGTTTCCTTAGTTTTCAGAAAAAGTTGTTATCCGAGAAAATCCCATATTTTCTTAGTAAGACAGTTTAATACGTATAACTCTAGATTGAAAATCATGGGAATACCACCTCATATCACAGTAAGTAGTTTTAATACATAAAACTATAGATTGAAAACCATGGGAATACCATCCCGTACTAGATATAAGAACCATGGGAATCCCATCCCGTACTAGATATAGAATCTATCGATTGAAAACCATGGGAATACCATCCCGTACTAGATATAAATGCTATAGATCAAGATAGATATGAAAGTCCGTGAATAAACTTATATTTTTATATTAGTACATATTGTGAGTCGGGTAACCATGCTAATATGACCAAGAGACCTCCTTTACGTTCTTCAGGCGTCGGACGATATCCAGAATTTGTCACCCCAGGCGTGCCCGCCTAACTGTAGCTAGCAGTTTAGGTGTGGGATTGTCAGTCTCGAATAGATGTATTCACAAATTTCACGCTTTCCTTCCAGGAGACTCTGGTTACACTTCCGGGGAGGATTTACTGATAACCCGAAGGGTTTAATGAAGATACATCTCACAAGCTAGTATTAAATTATTCACGGTATACTCGGTAGTTATCATACATCATACAGTAAAACAGTTTAACACAATGAAATTATCTGGCATGATATTCTAGATTAAACGGAGATAAACTGAATCAGACATAGTTTATCTATTAACTTTGCATGAAATCTGTGTCCGTAAAACAAGAACCGAAGATCCCAAATTATTCCCATAATAATTTGATTAGTTTGATTGTTTCCTTTACCGTAGTTGAAATCCATGTCATTCGATTTGATAAAACATCCCTTATGCTCCGCATAATACATAAGGGGTAAAGATATCTAAAAGTTTGCCAGATATTTATAGAATTTCATTAGTTTTAGGTTTTGAAAACATTTATAGTTTGCTTGTATTCCCCCTGAAAACATTGAAAACACGGAAAAAGGTGTAGGGGTATGAACTCACCAGACGAGAAAACATGTCAGTTTGGATGCTGTGTGTCGGGTCGGGGATTGATAACACGTGAGGTTCCTATGTAATATGGAATGATACACAAATGTATCTAATTAGACTCTAATGCACTAATCAGATGTGATTATACACTCCAAGACGCGAAAACACTTCAAATCAAGTGTTTGGAGTGACCCGGGTAGCACTTATGGATGAATAGGGCTTAGATAATGAGTTTTCTCTTCAAGAGTAAACTCCTTAGGGAGTTTTCAGCCCTAAGACCATGTCCACATGAGCTCATAGCCCTCATGGATGATGGGTTTTAAGGTGCTCAAAGGTCAAATATCATTTGGGGAATATTGCTAGGATATAATCTAAGGCATTGGAAGGAATTAAACCACCAAAGGAACCATCAAAGGGAGTTTATGGCTGTAAACTAGGATTTTACAGCCGTAAGCTCCTAATTACCCTTTCTTTTTATGTTTTGGTTGTCTTAGGTCAATCACATGTGATTCAAACTTATTTTACAAGCCATGGAATGGATTTAAGGCGTCATTTGTCTAAGGTATAGGAGTTTACGGCCCAAGAACCTATCCTTGGAGGGTTTATGGCTGTAAGCTCCTATGGGGGTGGTTTTCATCATGTTTTAGGCCCCTAAATCGATTGTGGTTGCTTCTAGACTTTAATCCAAGGCTTATGATGTGTTTAATTGGCATCTTAAAACTTTAAATTGAGATTACTGCCCATGATATGGAGTTTACGGCCCAAGCATGTTCTTGGGCAGAAAACTCATGTTTACTACCCAAATGTTGAGTTACAAGGTGTTCCAAGTTCATTCCAATAAGTCCTTAGGTCGATTCCAAGCTTCAAGAGTGATTTGGGAGGGTTTTTGGGCTCCAAAACCCATCTTATATGTTTTCACGGCCCAAGAGTGTTCCAGGGCCGTAAACACATGTTTATGGTCCATTTTCATAGTTTGAACATGGATTTGGAAGCTGAAAAGGTTATACTACAAGTTAGGATGGTTACCTTGATGATTTGAAGCTTGAAATTGATGATTTTAGACCAAGATTTGAGTTAAAGAGAGAGAGAGAGAGAGAGAGTAGTGAGAGAGGGTGCAAAAGCTTCAAAAGAAGTCAATTGAGCTTTATATATGGTTCAAGTTTGGGACACGGTGGAATTCTACCCGATACTGACGTTATACGATGCTTTTGGTCGCACCCGATAAAGTTCTCGTAACCCGATGTGGTCGAAATTAAAATTTTTCTAATTGTTAATTTGGAATATTTTGTTGTGATAATAATCTGTTTGAACACCCATTAAGTCATAATAAACGACTTAAATTTAATGACTTAATTTAATAACGAAACGGAAACAATTCGAAAACGACGAATTTTATTGACGGAACAGGTTACAATGACAGAAAGAATTTCGGGTTGTCACATTATCCCCCCGTTAGATGGAATTTTGTCCCGAAATTCAAGATTAAGATACAAATCATGGATTTGAAAAGAGATGCAAATACTTCTGTTTCATTGAGTCTTCGCGCTCCCAAGTGAATTTTGGTCCCTGCTTGGTGTTCCAACGAACCTTCACTATCGGGATGCAGCTTTGCTTCGTACATTTGATCTCTCGATCCATGATTTCGATTGGTTCCTCCACAAAGTTTAGGTTTTTGTTGAACTCGATCTCGTCTAGAGGGATCACAAGGGTTTCATTGGATAAACACTTTTTAAGGTTCGAGACGTGAAAGACTGGGTGGATGTTACTAAGGTTGTGTTTGTTTTTTAAAAAAAAAAAAACTCTTCTAACCTCTTAGTGCTGCGTGGCACAGCACACACACAACACTTTTAGGTTCGCAGCAGTTTGTTTTTCTGCAGACTTCGGGCTCAAAAACCTCTTCCCGTCCTCTTCCCCACATAGCAGTGGACTTACCTCTTCTAACTACTTCTAACCTCATCTAAAAAAACACTCTATGCCCTAAAAAAAAAAACGCCGTTGCCTTCTCGTTCTTTCTCCTTCTTCTTCTCGGCAGCCAACTATCGATCCAGTGGTGGTCCGACTCTGCCACCCCATCGCCGCTCGCCTTCGCCGTTCCCCTCTGCAACGTCGGTTGCCTTCGCTGCTTGCTGCTGCCATCGTGCTACCCTCGATCTTCATCAGGTAACATTTTTTTTTCTGATTTCTTATTGATTTGAGTACCGATTGTATGAAATTGAGTACAAATTCTGTGATTTCTTATGCATTTGAGTACCGATTCTTTGAATTTGAGGACCAATTTTATGATTTCTTGTTGCCCTCGGTTTCAAGATCAGTTAATTTTTTTGTTTTTTTTTTTCTGATTTCTTATTGATTTGAGTAACGATTGTATGAAATTGAGTACAATTTCTGTGATTTCTTATGCATTTGAGTACCGATTCTTTGAATTTGAGGACCAATTTTCTGATTTCTTGCTGCCCTCGGTTTCAGATTAGTTATTTTTTTTTGTTTTTTTTCTTCTGATTTCTTATGTATTTGAGTACCTATTGTATGAATTTGAGTACCAATTTTCTGATTTGTTATGCATTTGAGTACCAATTGTATGAATTTGAGTACCAATTTTTTGATTTGAGTTAGGATTTTGTTGCTAGGATGTTACAACCTTTGTTAAAATCTTTGTTGAATGTAAACTTTATGATATATTGTTCTTTAAATAGATTTTCTGCTAAAATTTATATTTGTTGAATGTTGATTGTTGATTTATGCTGATATCATAAACTTATATGTAAGTTTCCATGCTGAAATCATAATCTTTGCTTATATGGTTTTTTTGTTCATTCGTGATGTATTTTTGTTGAATATGCTAAACTTATTTGTTGATTATGTTGGAATATGATTAATCTTTGTAGCTAAAGTATGTATTCTATATTTTTTTTGTTATTAGCAATGGGAGATAAACATACATGGACCAATGAGCAAACAAAATGCTTATTGCAAACTTGTATTGAAGAAGTGCAAACCGTGGGTAGAAAAGGCTTGAGTTTGCACAAACAATCATGGCACAAGTTAACTATTAAGGAAAAGTATGGCGTGGATTTGAATCAACGACAATTAAAAAACGCCTATGATAACCTTAAAGCCAAATACACAGGATGGTTATACTTAAAAAACAAAATTGGAAACCTTTACAACCCACAAACAAATACTTTTAACTTAACAAATGAGGAGTGGGAGGACTTTAAAAAGGTATATATATATATATATATGTATACACACACACACACACATATTTATATGTATTTTGTTTATATAGTTTTCATTTATTCTTATATTACTTTTGTTACATTGATTGCGTTTAGGGACATCCGAAAGCCACTTCTTTGAAAAACGTCCCATTATTGTTTCCAGAGCTTTGTGCAGAACTCTTTGATGGAAGCAGTGCATTTGGTAATCTCAGCTATGCCACATCCCAAACACCATCGGTATCATCTTCTTTCCATGGCACACCATTACAGCTTTTGGACGCCCCTTCCATTAACATAGATGAAGATGATTTTTTTTTCCAATCATACAAGTGAACATTTTACTCAGAATCCACCTTCTGCTGATTCACCTTATGCTGCTTCACCTTCTGGTAACCCCAACAAAAGGGCTAAACCCTCAACTCCTAGACCTTGAGCTCCTAGTGCCTCACCTGATCCACCTTCTTGTGCCTCGCCTAAAGCTTCTATTACTGCTGATGATTTAGCACTGGAGATGCAAAAAGCTCTATGCCATTTGACTCAAGGGCCAACAATTCCCTAGTGTTTAGAGAAGCTTGAGTTGCTCGAGTTAGACCCAATAGACCCTATACGATTTGCTGCGTATCACATTTTTGGAGGGACCATGAATATTAGAGAGATGTGGGTAAATTTGCCTAATGATCCACAAATATTAAGAGGATGGATCGAGATGACAGCTACAAGTTTAAGAGTTTTAAAGAATGGAAAGATTGTTCGTTAAGCTAATATGTTATTTGGTTATTTTCTACTTGGGATTTATGATATGTTTTGGTACTTGAATGTAATTTGGTTATTTGGTACTTGAATGTTATTTGGTTATTTGCTACTTGGGATTTATGATATGTTTTTTGGTACTTGAAATTTATGTTATATTTTTTTGGTACTTGAGATTTATGTTATTATCTTATGTTATATTATTATCTTATGTTATTATTATTATCTTATGTTATTATCTTATGTTATATTATTATCTTATGTTATTATATGTTTTCTTGATTAATAGGTTTGTAATGGATCACGACAAAAAGATACTACTCATAATTCTTATGTACTTGTACGTCCGCTACTTTTGGAAGAGGGGTGTCAAATGAGTGCGGGACAACGATTCGGAAATGACAGGACATGAATTTACGTTAGAGTTACTTTACCGTAATCCTCTACAATGTCTTGAAGTGCTACGCATGTCTTGTGAATCATTTGTCCGACTATGTGCTCATTTGAGAGTAAACTACGCGTTAAAGGATAGCAAACATGTGTCGGTTGAGGAGAAGATGGCTATGTTTTTTATGATGATCGGTCATAACCAACGTTATGTGATTATCAAGCGGAGATTTCAACACTCAAAGCAAATAATTCATAAGTTTTTTCATGAAGTGTTGGACAAAATGTTGCTTTTCGCACATGACATTATAGTACCAACATCTTTTAATCCGAATCCAAACATTCCGGGACATAATAGGAGGCTACAGCGGGTGTTCAAGGGAGCAGTTGGTGCACTTGATGGCACTTTGATACATGCTGTTGTCCCTGTAAACAAACAGGATTTATATAGAAGTAGGGGAAAAGGCGATTGTTACCAAAACGTATTGGCAATATGTGACTTTAACATGATGTTTACGTTTGTTGTTGCCGGTTGGGAAGGGATAGCACACGATTCTAGAATTTTATCAGAAGCATTAGCAAATCCACATGCACCATTCCCGCTTCCACCTCCAGGTAAATTTATGGTTATTTAAATAGTTTTATCTTTATTTGAAAATAAATGACTTTTTTTTATAGATAAATATTATCTTTGTGATGCCACCTATGCAAACATTCGAGGTTTTATGGCACCGTACCGTAATGTTAGGTATTGGCTTGGAGATTTCCGTCGAAAACGTGCATTAACGAATAAAGAAAAATTTAACCATGGACACGTAAAACTTCGGAATGTCATTGAGCGTGCTTTTGGTGTCTTGAAAGCACGATTCCCTATACTGAAGAGGATGGCACCATTCTCGTTGGTTACACAACGAAACATTACCCTAGCATGTTTTGCGCTTCATAATTTTATAAGAAGAGAGGGACTACGTGATGAGTTTTTTGCATGATATGATGAACCAAATGTCTCGGTTCGGAATAACAATGCGGTCGTTGATAATGATGAAGATGAGATTCCAACACATGGTACTGCTGCGGACCATGAATATATGAGCCAGTTACGGGATGAAATTGCCGAACAATTGATGCAAAATATGGAATGAAAATTATTAAAGTTTGGTTGTATGAATTTTATTTAAAAATGTTATTGTAAGACTAATTTCGTTGTTTGAATTTTATTTCAATGGTTTAAGACTACAATTATTAAATTTTTGGTATTAACAAACTATTTTCGGTTTATTAAATTACTTTATTTTAAATTTTTTAATATCTGCAGCAGTCTGCAGACGTTAAAAAAACAAACATGATTCTCATTACAGTCTGCAGCACTTTGGTCCACCTCTTCTGCTGCAGAGGTCTGCAAAGGTGGTCCGCAGACTTCAAACAGATTCACTTCGGAAAAACAAACAACACCTAAGCTCTTGAGGTAATTGGAGTTTATAGGCTACAAGACCGATTATGGCGAGGATCTCAAAAGGTCCAATGTACTGCGGGTTAAGTTTCCCCCGCTTTCCGAAGCATATCATGCCTTTCCAGGGTGAGACTTTAAACAAGACATGGTCTCCAACCTGGAACTCCATAGGTTTCTGTTGTACATCAGCGTAACTTTTTTGTCGGTCTCATGAAGCTTTCATTTGTTCTCGGATCTGGATGATTTTCTCTATGGTTTCGCGGATGAGTTCAGGACTAGTGAGAGTACTGTCAGGGACTTGACTCTTGATTAGTGGCGTGTCCCCTATCTCGGCCCAACACAGTGGGGATCTGCACTTACGACTGTAGAGGGCTTCAAACGGGGCAGCCTTGATACTGGTGTGGTAACTATTGTTATATGAGAACTCGATTAAAGGCAAATGTGTGTCCCACGACTTTCCGAAATCAATGACACATGCTCTCAGCATGTCTTCCAGGGTTTAGATAGTTCTCTCACTCTGTCCGTCGGTCTGAGGATGATAAGTTGTACTCATATCCAGCTTAGTTCCAAGATCTTTCTGAAGGGACTGCCAAAACCTTGAGGTAAACCCGCTATCTCAGTCGGAGATAATGGATGTAGGTACACCGTGCAGTCGGACTACTTCTTGGTTGTAGATTCGCGTGAGTCTTTCCATCTTGAATGATTCTTTAATTGGAATGAAGTGAGCGGATTTTTTCAAATGATCGACAATTACCTAAATGGTATTGTACCCACTCATACATTTGGGTAACTTGGTGATGAAATCCATGGTAATCATCTCCCATTTCCACTCAGGTATCTCGGGCTGCTGGAGCAGACCCGAGTGCTTCTCATACTCGACTTTTACCTTGGCGCAAGTCAAACACTTTCCCACGAAGGTTGCGATTTCGGATTTCATGTTCGGCCACCAGTATTGTTTCTTGAGATCCAGGTACGTCTTGTCCGAACCCGGGTGAACATAGTACTTTGTCTTGTGAGCTTCGGTCATGACGACGTCTTTGAAACCTCCGAACTTTGGGGTCCAGATTCTATCCATGAAATAGTAGACCCCGTCACCTCTGATCTCAAGTTTCTTATCCATTCCCTTTAAGGCTTCGTTCAACACATTTTCTGGCTTTAGGGCTTCCCACTGAGCTTCTCGGATCTGTGCGGATAAGTGAGAATGGATGGTCATCGTCAGTGTCTTCATTTTGCAGCTTGAACTCTCCTTTCAGCTAAGGGCATCTGCTACCACATTGGCCTTACCGGGATGGTAGCGGATTTCGCATTCGTAATCACTGAGTAGTTCTACCTATCGCCGTTGCTCATGTTTAAGTGTTTCTGATTGAAGATGTGTTGCAGGCTTTTATGGCCAGTGAAGATCGTGCACTTAGTTTCATAGAGATAATGTCTCCAAATCTTCAATGCGATGACCAATGCTCCTAACTCCAAGCCATGAGTCGTATAGTTGACTTCGTGTGCTTTTAACTGCCTTGAGGCATAAGCAATAACTTTTCCTCTCTGCATAAGCACACAACCTAATCCCTGATTGGATGCATCACAATAAACCACGAAGTCTTCTGTCCCTTCGGGTAGGGACAGGATAGGTGCGCTGCACAAGGCTTGCTTAAACGATTTGAATGCAGTTTATTGCTTTTCACTCCAACAAAAGGGTATGCCTTTCTGTGTCAGAGTGGTTAGGGGTTTGGCGATTCTGGAAAAATTCTGGATGAACCTGCGATAGTAGCCAGCGAGACCCAAGAATTGACAGATTTCTGTGGGTGTCTTCGGTGCTAACCAATTCTCTATCGCCTTAATCTTGGACGGGTCCACGTGTATACCCTCCTCGCTTACCATGTGACCAAGGAAAGCTACCTTCCGAATCCAGAACTCGCACGTAGAGAACTTCGCATACAGCTTCTCCGTTCTGAGTGTTTCCAACATTAACCTCAAGTGTTGTTTGTGATCTTCTTCGCTTCGGGAATAGACAAGTATGTCATCAATGAACACAATGACGAACTTGTCCAGAAAAGGATGACACACCCGGTTCATCAGGTCCATGAACATTACTGGTCCATTGGTTAGACCGAAGGGCATCACTACGAACTCGTAGTGTCCATACCGAGTCATGAAAGCTGTCTTGGAATCATCATTCTCGTGGACTCGAAGCTGATGGTACCCTGATCTGAGGTCTATCTTCGAGAAGTAACTAGCTCCCTGAAGTTGATCGAAGAGGTCATCTATACGAGGAAGAGGATAGCGGTTTTTGACTGGCAATTTATTCAAGTCACGGTAGTCGATACACATCTGGAAGGATCCCTCTTTCTTCTTTACAAACAATACCGGAGCTCCCTAGGGTGAGGAACCCGGTCTGATGAATCCTTTGTTGAGTAGTTCATTAAGCTGACTAGATAACTCCTGCATTTCTGCTGGAGCTAAATGATACGGAGATTTTGCTACGGGGGTAGCTCTAGGAATTAGGTCGATGCGAAACTCAACCTGTCATTCGGGAGGAATTCCCGAGAGTTCTTTGGGAAAGACATCAGGAAAGTTGCAGACTTCAGGGATGCTCTCGAGGTCCTTAACTTCCTGGTTCTCGTTAATGACATGGGCTAGGAATGCTTGTCACTCCTTCCGCAGAAGCTTTTGAGCTTTGATGCAGGAAATGATACGAAGATTGGAGCTAAGTTTATCGCCATAGATCATGAGAGTCTGGCCAGAGGGGAGATTGAGACGGATGGCTTTTTCATAGCAAAGGATATCAGCATGATTGGGACTCAACCAATTCATCCCAATAATAACATCAAAGCTCTTAATGGAAACTGGCA